GTGGGTGGGGTCTGGGTGCCAGGGATACAAGGGGGCGCATTGTTGAAGGTATCTTGGATTGACGCGGGGTTGAAAGCACTGATGAGCGGCTCGGCACGCGGCGACTGACACGGGGCCGCTGTGGAGCAGGAAGGGAGCGGGGCAATTTGCTGCGCCCACTTTGGGCCTCGCCGGGCGCACCCACGCGCCACCGCCGCCCTCTTCCACAGCCCAGATCCCGCAAACGAGCATGGTCGAGCGTGCGCCGCCGCCACCCACCACGAGCGTCTTCCAATTGTGCAGGGCGCCGTTCCTGACGGCGTACTGCACGTCACTGCGGGTGACGTACAGCTTGGACAGCACCTGGGGTTTAGGGGGTGGGGGTGGGGGGCCAGGGTTTTGGCTGAGCGGCAGGTTTGGGTGGGTGGGTGCCAGGTGGGTGCATGGCAATATGTCAGGGACAGCAACCAGTGCGCCGCGGGTGGGTAGAGTGTGTGAGTGCGGAAGTGAGTGTTGGTGCAAGTTGAGCGTCTGTGTGAGTGTGTGTCTCTCTGTGTGTGTGGGGGGGGGGGGCAACATCGAGGACGGCGTGCCGGGGTTGCTCTGCGGTGGCGGCGGCGCCGATCCAACAAGGCAGGGAGACGCTGGACAGAAACGCACGCCCGCCCCGCGCCGGCGTTTGAGGACCCAAAAACGCGGTCAAAGATAGCGCAGTGGGGCCGGCGGGCAGCGCGCCAGTGCGTGGTGGCATCGGGATCGCCGGCTGGCGGGGTGGCATTGCAAAAGGGTGCATGAGAGCGATGAGAGAGGCCGCGCCGGCCGCGCACCTCGTCCCTGCGCTGCCGTCCCAGGGCCTGCAGGATGGCCTGGCCGTGCGCCTCCGACGCGGCGCCCTCGTCGTCGCTGCCGCCGTCGACCTTCACGCGGCCCGTGGTGCCCGCCACCTGCGGCGCGGCGGTTTCGGGGCGCCGAGGAAGGGGGTGGGGTGGGTTGAGATCGCCGTTGGCGTGAGGTTGTGAGGAGGTGCGTGGCGGTTGTAGACTTGATAGGTGTGTTGGAGTGTGTGGCGGCTGTCCGTGGCAAACTTGGGGGAGGCCAAGGCGAGGGGCACGAGTGGCATCGGAAAGAGAGTTAAATTCGGTTTGTTCTGCATCGGGCGGCGAGGCCCTTGGATTGTTGCAGTTTTGGTTGCTCGTCATTTGCCACAGCGGCGCCGCACATGGATATCGCAAACAAAACAGCCGCGTCCCAGTCAAGACCACACAGCATACGTGCAGCCCCGAGCGCTGTCTGGGTTTCCATGCCAGGTCAGACGCAATCAGATCATGCCAGATCATGTCACCTTGAACAGCAGCTCCCCGCACAGCTCCACCGACGCCTGCCTGATGCGCCACGCCTCGTGGCTCAGGCCCGCCTCGACAGCGGGCAGCAGCAGCGGCAGGCAGCTGTCGCGCACAAGTTTCGAATTTGGGTGAGGCAGGGAGGAGGGGATGGAGGGGTGCGTGAGCAAGACCCTCGGCTCACATTCTCCTCTGTCCTTGCCTTAGCCTTACTGAGGTGGGTCTCGACGATCACAGGCACAGACGCGTGCGTGTGTGCGCGCGTGTGCGTGCGTGCGTGTGCAAGAGGTGACTGTGTACAGGCACACACGCACACGCATATACGCGTTTGCGAGGCCAGGAAAGGCCAGGCCAGTGCAAAACAGATAGACAGCATAGCTCCAACGGAATGTCAGCCCCAGTGCTGGGCGCCGCCAGGATTAATAGCCCGGCGGGCCGACCAGACCGGGGCAACCCCGGGGCGGCGCGTGGCCGCCCCTGGGGCCGCGTGGTGTCGCGCAGCTTGGAGGCCGGCCTCCCCGATGGTGGCGCGGGGGGCGGATGAAATCTGCGCAGGACAGCAGACGCGCCATCCCCCCTCCTCCCCTCTTGCGCCCTCTCACCTTCGTTTCACACCCGCCTGACCCGCACCCCCCCAATACACGCAGCCGTTGCTGCCGCGTGCCAAAACCAGAGGACACAGCTGCCCCCATTTATGCCGCCCTGGCGCCCTTCACGCGCCGCCCAGGCTGGCCAGTGCAACGACGACCCCTGCCCCCACTAAACGGAAGAAAAAGCTGCAACCAACAAGACGACGCCGACGCGCTGCGAGGCTGCCAAAGTATCCCGCAAAGCGTCTGTTGATGACGCAGCGGGCGCAGATGGGCGCAACCCTTAACCCGCTCAAGCGCCCACCTCTTTGCGTAGATCTCCACGAACGCGCGCGCCGCCGCGAGCGCCGCGTCCCTCACGCCCTCCGACTCGTCGCTGAGGCCGTCCAGGATGGCGGGCAGCACCTCCCCCAGGTGAGTCATGAAGGCGGCCTCCATGGTCAGGGGGAGGTACCTGCCGGGGGGAGGTTTCGATGGGTGGGTCGGGGCGAGGGACGCGTTGGAAGGAGGACGCGGGCACCAGAAGCGGCTGGATGTCGGAAGTGGGGATGTTGTAGGCGATAATGTCTGTGTGTGCGCGTGCACAAAAGCATGCGTATGCTTTTCATTTGGGGTGATGAAGGGGCCGAGAGGCAGGAGCAGGAGTTGGGATGGATTAGGCCATGCCTGCGTGTGGTGTGCTCCAAACCCCACGACCTGGTGGGGGGGGGGGCCGTGCAGGCGGCGGCGCCGCACCTGAAGAGCGTGAGGTGTCCCTCCCTGACAAAGGCGTTGCGCGCCTTGGCCGACGCCAGCATCTCCGGCAAAAGCTGGGG